ATGCTTGTCTAATAAACCAATAATCTAGTAAGTATAGTTGTTAGAAGCACAGGTAACAACCTGGACTGGCAACTGTCATCTGAAAGGGTTGGGGTGGGGGCAGGCTGGTGTGATCTGATGCTATCTACAGGTAGGTAGCATCAGATGAGTTAAATTATAGGACTCTCAGTTGGCATTGAAGAACTGCTGGATATGTGGAAAACTCACATATTTAGTGTCAGAAATGAAGCAGTGTTGTAGTTGCATAGAGAAGACACATAGGAGGAGTGTGTTTTCCTTTAGAGGAGGGAAAGGGAAATGAGAATGGGATTTTTTTTTAAAGGAAATGAACACAGTAAGAAACTCAGACAGACTTAATATGAAAATAAGTTGTAAATTAGAGAATATGATTTAATCATCCCTCTGTACTTGAGATCTGAATTGAGCTCATCATACATTAGAAAATTGCCAATATCCCTGATCTTTTCTCAAAACAAAGTGGTTAAAATCTATTCCAAGACTACATTTTATATAATATGATTCCTGGGTAATTAAATTCCATAGGTTGTCAGTCAATTTTAACCCCTAAAATTGAAAATTCACCCCAATATTATCAAGTGATTTAAATAGCACTAAAAAGCAGTTTTAACCCTAAAAATTGGTATATTATCCATATTTTAAAGGAAATTTATGATTATATTGATAAGTAGGCTTCTCAGGTGGTGCTAGTGGTAAAGAACCTGCCTGCCAATGCAGGAGGCATAAGAGATGTGGGTTCAATCCCTGGGTCAGGAAGATCCCCTGGAGGAGGACACGGTAACCCACTAGTTTTCTTGCCTGGAGAATCCCATGGACAGAGAAGCCTGACGATTACAGTCCAGAGGGTCGAAAAGAGTCAGAAAAGACTAAAGTGACTTAGTGCACACATATATTCAATACATTAAAATGATCACCTATGGGGAGGTGAGATTCTGTGATTAAATATATATACTTGACCTTTGCCACTATTCCTAGCACATAGCTCTAAATCCCTGTAACTTCCCATGTGAGAGCCTTAGGTGCATCTTTTAACAGTTTTGTTTCCAATTCTTGAAACTGCTCCAGAGTATAAAAGTGAAATGGTGTCTTATGTTCATGTAATAAGCCCCTTTCAACTACACCTGAGTTTATGTTAATTAAGTAATTTCTGGGAAGTCCCTAAATACCTAGGGACTTAGGGGAAACTTGCCAGGGGAATCAACCACTTGATTAGTATTGGAACTTTCAGCCCCACCCTCCAGACCTCTGGGGAGAAGGGAGTGGCTAGAGATTGCATTCAATCACAAATGATTTAATCAACTACACCTATGTAACTGGAAACTCCGTAAAAAACCAAAAGGGTGAGATTCAGGGCATGTGGGCTGGTGAACACGGGGAGTACACACAGAGTGATGCATCCACATGGGGCACAGGGACCCCACATCCTTTCCCACATATCATGCCTGACACATCTCTTCCGTCAGGCTGTTCCAGAGTTTTATGCTTGTATGCATGCGTGTGTGCTAAGTCGCATCAGTCACATCTGACTCTGCAACCATATGGACTGTAGTCCACCAGGCTCCTCTGTACATGGGATTCTCCAGGCAAGAACACTGGAGGGGGTTGCCATGACCTCCTCCAGGGTATCTTCCCAACCCAGGGATCAAACCCGCATCTCTTACATCTCCTGCATTGGCAGGAGGGTTCTTTACCACTAGCGCCACCTGGGAAGCCCCTCATGCTTGTCTAATAAACCAATAATCTAGTAAGTATAGTTGTTAGAAGCACAGGTAACAACCTGGACTGGCAACTGTCATCTGAAAGGGTTGGGGTGGGGGCAGGCTGGTGTGATCTGATGCTATCTACAGGTAGGTAGCATCAGATGAGTTAAATTATAGGACTCTCAGTTGGCATTGAAGAACTGCTGGATATGTGGAAAACTCACATATTTAGTGTCAGAAATGAAGCAGTGTTGTAGTTGCATAGAGAAGACACATAGGAGGAGTGTGTTTTCCTTTAGAGGAGGGAAAGGGAAATGAGAATGGGATTTTTTTTTAAAGGAAATGAACACAGTAAGAAACTCAGACAGACTTAATATGAAAATAAGCTGTAAATTAGAGAATATGATTTAATCATCCCTCTGTACTTGAGATCTGAATTGAGCTCATCATACATTAGAAAATTGCCAATATCCCTGATCTTTTCTCAAAACAAAGTGGTTAAAATCTATTCCAAGACTACATTTTATATAATATGATTCCTGGGTAATTAAATTCCATAGGTTGTCAGTCAATTTTAACCCCTAAAATTGAAAATTCACCCCAATATTATCAAGTGATTTAAATAGCACTAAAAAGCAGTTTTAACCCTAAAAATTGGTATATTATCCATATTTTAAAGGAAATTTATGATTATATTGAAACAAAAACCATTACTTCACACTAAAAGAAATTTAAACCAATTTTATCCTGAAATATCCTTGGTAATCAACTTTACAGGAGAGGTTAAAAAAAAGTGAATAAACACATTCTTGGCCCTGAGATTTGCATAGCACTGAGTCACCTAAAACTTCTCTATAAAAACGAGAGAGAAAAACCAGGGTTTAGGAATCAGGCATATTTCTGACAAGAGTATGATCAATATCATCAACGAAGGCTGTGACGTATAAATTAAAACCAGGTGTGTACAAAAGCTGTGCCCCAGCCTCCAACTTTCTAAAACTCTCAGGGGCTAATAAAAATAAATGGAAAAAAAAAAACTCTCAGGTGCTTACTATTTATTCCACTCATTGTGTCCTCTCATCATAAACTGTTTTTTTTTGCTGCCCTGGTCTTCTCTCGGGCTTTCTCTAGTTGCAGTAAGCAGAGCTACTCTCTAGGTGTGGTGCGCAGGCTTCTCTTTTTGCAGACGACAGGTTCCAAGGCACACAGGCTTAGTTACTCCTCGGCATGAGGAATCTTCTTGCACCAGGCATCAAACTTGTGTCACCTGCATTGGCAGATGGTTTCTTAACTACTGGGCCACCAGGGAAGTCCTCCTCACAAACTATTTTAACTGGTGATTATATATTGTAAACAACAACAAAATATTAACCACTAGAAGTCAGGAACTATCTTTTTATTTCCCCCAAACCCACTAATGGATGGAGGCAACCGAAGACTGAGGATGCTATGTAAAGTTCCTGCTAGGGAATAGCCTTAGAACCTACGGGACTCATTCGGGTCAGCAGTGCACCTGCCAAATGTCCTGAAGTCTCTGCTGCACAGTTTGACCCTCCTCATTCTGGTAACTACCCAACTCCCTTCCCACCTTCTCTACTCTCCCATCCTTGCTGAGTTTACCTGCCAAACTTCTTTCTATTCTTCAAACTCCAGCTAAAATATCATCTCATTCAGGAAGCCTGGCCTGCTCAATCTCTTCCCCTGATGGAAAGCTTCCTTCCTTTATTCTAACTTTGTATGTACCTTATACTTGTTTCTAATGTTCAGTTTATCACATATATCATAGTTAACCTGTCTTCCTCTCCTACCAGACTGTAAGTAAATTTCTTAGATGCACAAGCTGTGCTTGCTTTCTGGATTTTGCCCAAAACAGTGACAAATCCATAACAGATTCTCAAACACTTACTGACTACATGAATATTTGAAGCAAGGAAAATCAGTTGCCAGGCGTCTAATGAATCTATAAAGCCTGCCTACAAAAACTCATTGGTTGCTACAGTCAACTTTCAAGTTTTTCTTCTTGGAGTTAACACGTAAGATAGATAAGTTACTAAAGATTTTTATTTTTAAAGGTAAATAAATGATAGAATTAGCTGGAGAAATGGAATTCATATTAATGATTCAGGATGCCAAATACAAGAAATAATCATCCCTGGGAAGCCATTAATGAAACTGCGTTTCCAATAATCTTCTCTACAGCACTTTGCCAGAACACTCGACGGCCAGGAAGCTCTGTTAGTACAGTACTGTTGAAAGGCAGGGATATAAGCTGGGCGACCTCTCAAGATACTTTTTCAATCATGTAATTCCCTCAATTATTAAGATTGGGGGGGGCAGTCAAGGGGAAGGACTTTCCTGGTGGTCCAGTGGTTCAGAACTCACCTTGCTAGGCAGAGGACTCGGGTTTGATCTCTGGTCAAGGAACTAAGATCCCACATGCCAAGGAGGAACTAAGCCCGTGAACCACAACTACTGAGTCTGAGCACCACAACTACTGAGTCTGAGCACCACAACTACTGAGTCTGAGCACCACAACGAAACATACTACATGACACAACTAAGACCCTACACAGCCAAATAAATTTAAAAAATTGGAATTAAGAGACAAGGGAACTAGTTTCATTCCCAGGATAATGAGTGCCAACTGATAACACACAAACTTATTGGCTTGGGTAGTCAAGCCTCACTGTGACAGGCAAGGTAGAAAATTAAATTCAAATTTAATCACCTGTGGTAGGTAGAAAACTGCCCCTCCCCTCCCCATGATGTCCACATCCTATTCCACAGAATTCGTATATATGGCCCCTTATACTAGCAAAGAGAGACTTTGCAACTGCAATTAAATTAAGGATTTTGAGATGACATTATCCTGGATTATCCATTTGGCCCAATATAATCACAAGGGCCCTTTTAGGAGGGAAGCAAGGTCAGAGCAGATGTGATGACAGAAGCAAGGATCAGAGGAAAGATCTGAAGATGTTATGCACTGCCAGCTTTGAAAATAAGAAAAAAGACTGAGTCAAGGAATGCAGAGCACCTCTAGAAGGTGGGAAATGGAAGGGAAAGGATTCTCCCTGAGCCTCAAAAAGTAGCTAAGCATTGCTGACACTTTGATTTTACCTCGTAAGAGCTATTTTGATCTTCTAACCTTCAGAACTACACAGTAATATTTGTGTTGTTTTAAGCCACCAAAAGCTTTGGTAATTTGTTATATCAGCAATATGAAGCTAATGCAATGCCTAAACAATATCTTCTTAGCCAGCAATGGTAATCAAAACTTACCTTCTAGGAAAGAATGATCTCGAACAGCTTCTGCAGCTAATACAGATTTCCCACAACCTGCCATTCCATATATGGTGACCCATCCCGGTTCACCATTCAGCTTAGAGAGCTTCTGCTGAACTGCATTCACTAGCTTCTTCCTAGTAACAAAAACAACGGGCCTCTGTGGTACTCCACCTTCACACAGGACTGTCCTTACTGAAATCCAAAACAAAACAAGTATGAATGAAGAGAACTTTGAAATGGTTACTCAAGTAATTCTATAAAAACCAAAGAGAACAGGCTGAGATCTCCACCAGAATTTCCAAGAGAAGAAAACATGGCTAGTGTATTAACTTTAACTTTCTGATTTCTCAGAACACCCAGAACAAAAGTAAAGATACACCTTTCAAGATGACTACAAAGCAATGAAAATCTCCATTTATATCTGCCCCGACTCATCCTCTCCCTAACTCTCCAATCTTTTTCTCATACTAAAGATTAAGAGCGTGTAAAGGAAGGAATATGGAATTGCTTTCAAGGGCATAGATTTCTAAACAGCTGCTCTTTCCTATGCTTGAATTTGGTAAACACAAAACTGGAGAAAAATTTAAAGGCTTATAAATGATCTTATTATCTCTAAAAATTAAGGTATGTATATTATTATCTCAGCAGTAGATAGTTCACTGGGTAAGGAAATGAGAAAGTAATATGGACACAAATGAAAATATCTGAATTGGAAAACAAGACTGTAAATTCTTCACATGCATGTTTCACTGAACTGTTAAGTCTCTCCGGCAGACACCATATACAATGAAACAAAACTTCAGCCACGTAGTCATTATGATAGAAGGCATCATGGGTACAAACCATATGAAGTTATTCCACTAACTGAATCTTTGCCATCAGAAGAAGAGACGACAGGAATGCCACCGTGCAGAAGGGCAGCAAGATCTTTGTAACCTTCATGGAGTAGAGCATTGTAGAATGATATATAAGAATAATTATCTTTTTTAAGTATCATTTTAATTAGCATAGCTGCTCGTTGCCGTTGGGTGGGCTAAAAAAAAAAAAAAGCAATTCAGTATACTATGAAGAATATATTTGCAAAAAAAAAAAGAATATAATTGCAACATAAATTAGTGGACACCAGTATAAATTTTGAAATAAATTCTAAGAATTTTTAAGAAAGTACAGACTGAATTTTTTAAAAATCAAAAAGAAAGCACAGGCTGCCTCAGAGGACTTTACCTCATTTTTCACTTTTTCCTCCTCTGACACTGTTAAAACTCCATTACTAATCATGTGATCCATGATGTAGGATGTTTTGATGTCCCTTTCCAAGGCTTCTCTATGTTGAAGCAAACAATTTCGAGCTTTTGCATCCATCTTCCCTCAGGTTTTTCTTTCTCTGAGCTGTCAACCATGAGCTACAGGCAAAACATCAAATTCTTGTCAGGCCAATAAAGATATGAAAAGATGTACAACCTCACTGGTATTGAAAAATATAAAGAAAGGATTTTATTTTTGCAAATTTTTTAAAATAAACAAAATCCAATGCTTTCAAAAATGTGAGGAAATTAGTATTCTTTTAAGATACCTGAGGAGAGATAGGGAATTTGGGATAGACATGTACACAGTGCTATACTTAAAATGGATAACCAACAAGGACCTATTGTATAGCGCAGGGAACTCTGCTCAATGTTATGTGGCAGCCTGGATGGGAAGAGTTTCAGGGTGAATGGATACAGGTGTATGTATGGCTGAGCCTCTTAGCTGTCCACCTGAAACTATCTCAACATTGTTAATTACGTGTGTGTGCGGGTGTGCAGTCCGCCAGGCTCCTCTGTCCATAGAATTCTCCAGGTGAGAATACCAGAATGGGTTGGTTTATTAGCTACACTCCAATACAAAATAAAAAGTTTTTAAAAAAAGTACCTGAGGGGAGTACAAAGTGGATGCAACTTTTCTGGAAGGCAATGTACGATGTATTTAAAGTAAGCATTCTCTTTAAACCAGAAATCCCACTTCTAGGAATCGACCTCAAAGAGACAGTCATATATGCATGCAAAAAATATCCACAAAAAGAGTTAAAAGAATGTTTAGGTAAGATTAAAACAACCTAAATGCCCATCATTCTGAGTATGGATTTAAAAAATTAGAGTCTGTATATATAATGGACTATTACACAGCCATTTAAAATAAGACACACCTCCATGTACGGACATGGAAAGGTGTTCATGACACATAACTGAGAAAGTTTTAAATATGACCCCATGTGTAGCACAAAATATGTGTTGGTCTCATCTAAATACATACGGAGATGTTTAGAAGTCTGTTCAACATAATGTTTGGGTTACTTCCAAGAATCAAGATTTGGGATTTTTTCCCTTCTTTTCTGTTCTTTTCTATACTATCTTAATTTTTTTCAATACTCATTATCATTTGTACAATTATAAAACTTTAAGACTTTATAAACAATGATCATATTGAAGTCCTAATAATTACAAACTTCTTGATTTCTTTGCCATCATAAAACTAAATAGTGCATTCTATTGAGTATTAGTTCTCACTCAAGATGGGCGTCAGCTGGTATGTCTTCACACATTTCTCCCGGACTTACTCCACAAGTTTCAGCTGAGCTGCTAAGTATGACAAAGCAACAGAAAATATCCACTGATGTCATTTCTTAGATTAGGAGGACATAAAAGCAGAAGAATCTTCTTCATAATATAATACTCGAAGTTCCTATCAACTTTATTTCAAATATGATGCAAATTTTTCAATGAGTATATACCCCAGATCAGAATGTTTGCATTAAACAGAATCTACTAATGTATTACAGTGAGTGTCTCAACGTGCTTATTAATGTATGTACTCAATAAATATTTGAGTCCCTCCTATGTAGGGCCCGGAATCTACAGAAATTAAATCATACCTATGAAGGAATTCACTATCTGACAGAAGAGGAAAATACAGATAACTATAACGTGATGCACTGAGTGCAAAGAGATAAGCATAAGTAATTTTGAGCACACGGAAGAGGAGTAATAATGATAAGCCTCAATACTGACTACAAAGTACGACCGTATGTGTCAGCTGCATACAAAGGTAAGTGAAGCATTTCCCCATTATTGTCAAGGTTCACAAAATGCCCAGTACTGGCATGAAACTGCTTGATACAAGAAAAAGTTATGGTTAGGACCAGGGCTACGATAATTTTTAAGTGTTAATAAAGTTTTTATGATCTCAAACATAAAATGTCCCTTAATTTTACAGTAACAAAATTTTGGTTTGACAAAAACAGAAATAAACTTTTTTAGGTTAGGTCCAATAGCTAAGGCAAAAAACACTCTGAACACTTGTAACTAATTTTCAATTTTACCTAGCCCTATTAAAACTAAAGAAATTAAGTTAAAACTAAAGAAAAGTTAAAACTAATTAAGTTTCACATGTTGTTTTTCTAAACTTTGTCCCCATTGAAACATTATGAACAGATTCTCAGCGTCCCACCTTTTGTACCCACATCAACGTAAAGTCAGGACTCGTGAAATATAAAGGTCAGTTTCATGCAGGAAAGCCGTAACAGTTGACCAGTTCCTTTTTAGACATTTCTCTTCCTGGCACAGTATTAGAACAATTAACAAGTATCCCCTGAACGAGAATTCTGAGTCCCTTAAACTGGCTACTGAACCTCCGGAGAACCCAATTCTGAAAGAAAAGCGAGACGCAAACTTACCCAAACCTTAGCACAAGGGTCTTCACTGGGAAATCAAGCTGGGGTTGAAAGGAGGCAACAGGGCTTCCAGAAAAAAATTCAGGGCTAGGGACACAGGCCGGGGTAGGTCGGGGCCTCACAGGTGTCTCACCTGAGCGTCCGCAGCAAGGCGGGTAGCTGAAGGCCCCCCGCGAACCTCCGACCCGCAGAGAAGGGGGCTTCACCCCCCAGGCGACCGTCGCAGTCCCGGGGCGCCGAGGTGGTGACTCCAACCCAGACACAAAGGAAGGAGGGTCACTAGGGCTGAGGCTCCTTCCCTCAGGCTGCAATTGCAGCCGGGCGGGAGCCGGGCGCCACTCTGGACGCCGCCGCAGCCGCGGCTACTTCATGTCCTCGCGGGTCGCTGACCCCCTCAGACTCCTCACGGCCGGCCCCCTTACTCCTTCCGCACAGAAATAAAGGCAGCCTCTCCGCCTCAGGACCGCGGAGCTTTCAAAACCCGCCTGCGGGCCCAGCTGGGACGTCGCGGTCACGCGCATGCAAATAAACACACCCGGAAATTCACGGGAAGGCCGCCGCCGCGCGCGCTCTACCCCATCTTGTGCCCGCGCGCGCACGAGAAAGCGCCTCCGCCCCACCCACTGCGGGGGCGCGGCTAGGCCCCTCAGGAAGGGAGGGCCCAGGCGGCGGCGCGCTCGACGAGGAGGGACTCGAAAGCGGGTGGCTGGGAGACGCTGTGGAGCAGCGAGATGATGGCCGGGAGGGAGGGGAAGGGGGCTGGCTTCTGGGCGGTGCCAAGTCTAAAAGGGGGCGCGGTCAGCGCCGAGCTGTCTCGCCGAGGCTGAGGCGGCCACGTCCCGCTACCCAAGGTTGTGCAGGCGTCCCTCTATTTGTCCTCGGGACCTCCAGACATGTCCGAGGTGAAGAGCCGGAAGAAGTCGGGGACGAAGGGAGCCCCGGCGGAGCCTGGGAAGCGGAGCGAGGGCGGGAAGAGCCCCGAGGCTCGGGGTGGTGGAGGCGGGGGCTGGGCCGACCCCCGGACCGGCGTGAGCCTGCTGTCTCTGGGGACGTGCCTGGGCCTGGCGTGGTAAGTGGTCTGAGGCCGCTGGGCCGTGTCTGGCCTCCCGTGCTCGCCCTCCGCTTGGGCTTCCGCCTCTGCCCCAGCCCCGCACTGCTCGGCATCCTACTGACCTCCAGCTCCCAAACTTGCTGCTTCTGTTTCTCTGCATCAACCCCAAAGAAGGGACGACCCAGGTTTATTTTCCCTTTCGCTCATTTCTTGTACTGCCTGCGTGCCTGATCGCCCAACTGGAGTTGAGGCTAATATTTGGGAATGAGGCAGCCATTAAGAGGCTTCCCTGATGATTCAGATGGTAAAGAATCTGCCGGTAGCTGCAGAAGACCTGGGTTGGGAAGATCCCCTGGAGAAAGAAATGGCAGCCCACTCCAGTATTCTTGCCTGGAGTATCCCGTGGACAGAGGAACCCGGTGGGCTACAGTCCGTGGGGTCCCAAAGAGTCGGACACAGCTGAGCGACTAACACTTTCATTTTACTTTCACCATTAAGCAACGTACATTCGGCCAAACTTCCATTAAGCGCGCGTTCTTCACAACTGAAGCGTTCCCGTTTTTATAACCCGTTACTTCCTCTCCACTGTGCATTGGGACAAATTTGCCCCACCCCATCAATGCCTTGTGGCAACGTTTACAACTTGAAAAAAAATTCATTTTGATCTTAAAGAACCAACGTTCATGATAATATCAAATTTTGGAGGAGTGCTCATATTTGAATCAGTGTGCATGCGTTCAAAATCTATGCCTAAGTTACAGATTGAATTTTAGTATTGGAAAGCTACAAAAGCACAGAACTTGTGTTCACCGAAAAGTACATATATATAGTTTTTAAGCCAAGCAAATAGGGATATAATGATGTCATAAGAAAAATGAATATTAAAAAATAACCTTACAACCAACTTCTTTTTCTCAACCATATCCTTTAGGGTTAACATCTTTCACTTTAATAACGGGACTGGTGCTTTAGAGTTTCCCTCCATTTTCCACCGATTTTTGAAGTATCTATAAGATAGTTACTCGTATTCAAGAGTAATTGGATTCTAGAAGCGACCACAGACGTTCTCTCGTCTAGATTATTTTTGATGCTAGTAAATTTTGAAGTATACTGATCACTCATCCTGAGTCGAAGTCAATAAAGTATGTTACTAATACAATAAAGTGAAATGTTGATTATTAAATATTCTCTTCAAAGAGATAAACTGTTATCTTACTAATATAGTGTATTTATCGAATATTTTGATCTTAAATGTACAGAATTTACTATTTTAAATAAACTGGTTTTATGCCTTAAAATGCATGAGTTTCTTTGGGTAAATCAAAAACTGTGCTGGCAAAGTTAGTTGCTCAGAACTAGAACTTAGTAGGCTAAAATATATAGGTTGCTTCTTTCTGGAACCTAATACAACTGGTTTTAGTTACTGAATTCATTAATTCTTATTAACTATCCAGAGATTTATATTCGTATGAGATAAAATACTTCAGAAAATGTTCAGCTTTTCAATAATTTAGTTACTATCCTGGGAAGGCACACTAATAGGAAAAAGCTGTTGAAAAGCAGACACTTCAGCTTAGGAATTTACTGTTAGTGCCTACAATAAAGAAACAAACAAGTTCTATTCAAGGAGCACGATTTTATTTGAACTGTGTCTTTGCAACATAATAAAACAATGCTCAAAGATTATTTCTAAAATGGGCAGATTCAATGATTGTTATTGCTCTGGTGAAATCTTTTGCCGTAAGAGTTGAAGTATAAATTCAGTCACTATAGCAAATAGCTATTCGTGATAAATTTGGGAATAACAAATTATTAAGTCAGGAAGAATTTCCTACATTAAAAAATATTTAGAATTCTGAAAATACTAAAAAGCACACTGGAATTGTAACTAAGCCACTGACATTTTTACCACTAGGATTAGCACCTAAAGATCATTCTGTTGAAAATGCATACTGTACTGACACTGTCCTAGTTTTTTAAATACAAAGTTGAATATGTTTGCCTAAATACAGCTTAGGAGTGAGTCTAATTTAGGGCAGAGTTTTGAACGCCTGCACTGTCCATGGAGGATTTTAAGGCATCACCATTTCAGTATCTTCAAACCTTTAGTCTTTGGATCCTTGTTTGGAAAATAAACAGAGACAATGCATAATAAAATGGTGGTACTTAAAACATTTTTCAGTTAAATGAAGTGCTGATAATCATCTTCTGTCAGCTTAACAATAAGATGGAGATAAGAGTTGCTCAGGACTGTAGGGCCTGAGTGTTGGTTTGCATACCTCATTTATAAATTCTTTAAGAATATTTTCCAGATAAGAGTATTGAAGACATTATGCTTTCAGAAAGTTTTTAAAGGTTATGAACACACAAAACACAAAGTCTTAAAAGCTTCTTATTACACAGAAATTTAGTCAACTAGAAGTTCCATTGTAAAATTTTAGGTTTCTTCTGAAAATTTAAACAGATTCTCTAATTGCTTTTATAAAAGTTTGCCGTAGCATTTGTGATAATTATGTATCAAAAGTCAAAAGCTCTTTCAACAATCAGATAATTCAGGACTTTTTTTCCTCTATCAACTAATACAACTTTATAAATCATTTATACAGCAAAATCTTGGCTAACTCCATTTTTCAGCTTTTGTTGTCATTAGTAGAGTTTAAAAGACAGAGGTATCCTTTAATTGTCTTTTTTTTTTAATGGAATATGGTCATTGTTTTCCTGAACTTTCAGTATTATGTTAAAAATGAAGTTGTGGTATGAAACATGGCTAAATGGGTACTGACCCTAGTAGTGGCCCTGGAACTCCCTTTCTTGCAGAGGGTTCATGATAATAGCTTCTTTGGGGTTGCCTCTTTCTTATTACTAGTTGAAACAGAGCCAGAGAAAATCCTGTATATATAAATCCTCAATCAGCTGTCTTCCAACACAAGGAAATGCATGGTTTATTCCTAAGGGCCCTGAGTCTATATGAGACCTCTGTAAACTGCAATGGATTATGAAGGAGTCAGAAAGATTCTTTTTGTTAAGGCCTACACTAAGGTAACCAGTTCATCTAGGGCCTTTTCCTCTATATCCATACCTTTAAAATCTTTAACTATGATAGAGAAAAGAGGCCTCAAAACATGGGGTAAGAGAGTGCTTCTTTTCCTTTTAGTGGATCTCATCCATTCATTCCGTCCTTTGTTGGCTGTAAACCCAAGGCTGGTTCAAACAGACCTGGAGCTTCTAATAATATCAAGTGTAAGTAGAAGGGAGACCTGATCTATTTTACCACTGTAGGCTTGTCTGAAAATGGGAAATGCAAGTGCACAAAGCAATTCAAAAGAAAAAGTTACTTAAAAAGTACTTAAAGAGAATAGTTGATGTTTTATGTTTCAGAAACTGTAAGAGCTTTATAAATATAAACCTATTTAATCTCTACAACACCCTAATCCCCACTTTACAGATGAGGAAACTAGCAAAGGTAAGTTAAATAACTTGCCCAGGGTGGTTGTACAGCTAGCAGATGACAGAGCCAAAGTTGCCCAGCTTCACATTCAACGGGTATGACACGCTGTCCACCTTTAGTATTAATCCACAAACAGGCCAAGATCCTAGAAATAGAAATCCCTAGCCTAGAATTGTTTATAATCATTTTCTTTCTTCTCCTAGCCCTTAGCAGACCCTAACTGTTGTCTTATCTAAGGGAAAGAAGATGGGAGTAAGGAGGTTTTGAACTGCTTCTGTTTGAAAATCCCTAAAACGAAACAAAGCACCTTCGGCACTAATCCGGATGCCAGTTTCAAAAATTACTGTTTCAGAATTGAAACCACCTTCTCTCAGTGTACATTTTTGGCTTCTAGAAAATGGCTTCATCCTCATCCTTAATGTTAAATGAGTTAATGTTTATAAAGCTCTTAGAATAGTGTCTGGCACTTCTAAGTGAAAAATAAACTGGGAATTCCCCGGTGGTCCAGTGGTTAGGGCTTTGAGCTTCCACTGCAGGGGGCTCAGGTTCATCCCTGGTTGGGGAACTAAGGTCCCTCATGCCATGGGGTGTGGCCAAAAAAGAAAACAAATGTATTTTAACTCACCGTCATATAGACCACTGTTGATTATTTTCATTACACGCTAAATAAACTTTATACCTGTTTTTTCTTATATGCACTATTCATATGTAGAAATGGTGAATTTTTTTTCCATTTTGGTGAGACGCTAACTATGAAAAAGAACTGCAAATTATCATCAGAAATGATCA